GAGATTCAATAAATCCAGTTATATTAAAATTTTGGAAGACGCTAAAAAATTATCATATTTTTCAGAAGAAATATCGCGATAATCTCAGATAAATTATATCAATAATTGATGAGCTAGCGAACGTTAAAGCCCTTCTCGGAATTCTGTGTATTCAACCATTCTAGCTTCAGTTAAACAGTATTCTAGTGATATATTTTTTTGAGACATATTTTATTTACTATAAATGAATGGGAGATTGGGGAACAGGCAAAATGCCTATGTCAGACCCTAATCCCTAGTGATATTTAATTTGTTAATTATAACCTTTCCCTGATTGTTAAAAATGTCAAAATTAGAATAAACATAATTGACTTTTCATAATTATCTGTAATGTATTCTGTAATCTGCTTTAAATTTGATATCAAAATTTGACATTTAATAATAGTTCTATAAGAACAGTCCCCAAGTTCACAAAACATTCTCAGAATTCTACGAATTGATTCCACCTTAATGACTTTTATTCACTTGATTTGATATTTGTTTATTTGGTGCAATGTCTATTTTCTTGTCCGCAAGTTTATCTTGTAGATTTTTGTTTTGCGTGTACTGCAGTACTCCTGCACTTACTATTATGAGAGATATATCTTTGATCCAGAAACACATAATTTTGCATATAGTTCCTTTTTGATGTATTTGATACATTAAAACAACAAAAGTTTTATAAAGGACTATATTTTAGTTAAAATAAGGCAAACAATTTTGAGTCAATTCTTAAATAAAAGATACATTATGGGAGATTAGATAAAGAGCTAGAAGTTTTCACTATAATAGTTAAAAACATAGTTAATGTAAAAGGAATTTGCTGAAAATTTCAGTCAAATTGATCCACTCTGAACCAAGATTTTAGCATTGAATTTTCGCCCTAGCCTCGATCATCATTACTAAAGTCAGTGCAATAAAAAACATAGTCTTGATTATCCATTTCATGATTAAATCATGAATGAAAGTTGAGCAGCAAATGGGATCCTAATCCAGTAAATATTGCAGGCTGGTGTTGACATCTAGAGTTGATTATGGTCTGGATAAGTTAATTAATGTCTAATTAATAGTTTATAAAACATTTCAGGCCTAAAGAAAGACCTGCAATAGTCTGATTTAGCTCTTGCATAATGTATGTTTAAGTAAGAGAATGCTTTGTGAACAGGGGGGGTCCAGGTTTAGAATCCGTAATGGAGGTCAGAGGTCGGTTTGTTGACTAGAAGTAGGCCTAACTATACATATACATGTAATATATAAAGTTTATATTCCTATGTTAATCTTGCTTGTTTTAAATGTATATATTTATAATGTATATATGTTATACTTCCACCATTAGGAGGAGAATTTAAGATTATGAATATTTGATGTGAGGAAAATTTTTTTTTTTAATCATTTGCTTATGCCTATGTATATGTGTATTCATTGCTCTGTAAAAACTACAAAACTTGTATCTGTACTGGTAGATTACTGTAAAATACTTGAAGGTGCTATTCAAAAATAAAAAAAATTCAAATATATTCATCTTGGTGCTTATTGATGAAAAATCGTCTAATGTCTCAGTAGTATGACTTTGGCTCGCTAACCTGGAGATGCGGTGTCGATCCTGCGTTGGCTGAGAGAGTTTATCAGGATTTTCCGGGGTGGTTTCCCCTTGCTAGTGGGGTGGGGGGTTGGATGGCCGAATGGTTAGCACGCGCGCGCTGTATCATACGGTCTGTCATTGAGTCAACTGGCGGGGTTTTGATTCCCCGGTTGTATGTGACATCTTGTCAAAACTTCAAACAGTGATAACTCCGCTCAGAGAGAGAGAGAGGGTTTAACCTCCACTTGGCACAAACTTGGTCACTTCGGGACTAACATATGTTTCAATTTTATTTTAATAATTTGCTTAAGTAGGGGTCTTTAGCAGTGGGAGGAAACTGGAGGACCCGGAGAAAACCCACAAGGTTAGACAGGCAACTCTACTCCTTGATTGACCCCGCGTGCTGTGACGGCACGTGTTAAGGCAGTCATCTTTAACAGAGATATGAAACAGATTGGGTAATACGCTGGCTCGCTAGCCTGGAGCTGGGCTGTTCGATACCTGCAATGGCCGAGAAAGTTCTTCCAGATTTTCCGGCGTGTTTCCCCCTTGTTAGTGATGCAGGACGGATGACCTGACAAGGACAGCTGTCTTGTAATTCGGATGGTAGAAAAAAGCGAGATCCCGTGTACATATTGGCGTGCACATAAGAGTCGGCCGTGGTGCCGCTGTCCGGGCAAAATTTCCCTCATAGCACACTGTATAGTGTATGCCCGTCTTCATTAGCCCAGTTCAGAGCAGAACAGTGGAACGTTAACTCATTTATTCAGGGCGGACTTAAGACTGTTGGAAGATGTAACATTTGGATAAAATTTCAAGTGAATAAGATAGGTGTCATTGCAAATAATGGCGACCAGCCGAGTTATCCATTAGTCATAGTTTTTGGTATCCATCATTAGCCACGAAAGAACCCAATCTGATTAAAACACAGATCCAATTTCGTTTCGTTTTTATAGTTCAAAATTTCGATTTTACTTGTCTTTACTACATTTGGATCTGGAAGCGTTGTTATTTAACTCATGTTCTGCTTGGAATGATGGGTCAGCCAATCAAATGGTCTTTCGAATCGAGCGTTTGACCTTTTTTGTGCGGAACTGTGGGTAGACATTAGCGGCAATAGAAATCAAAACAAAGCAAAAGTAGATAAAAAATACATGGCGGTCGCTAATTGGTTAATCAAATGACTGACGTAATCGGGTCAAATGTCGCTTGTTTGGTACCTGACGTCATAGAACGTGAACTCCCACTATAACTTGTTAGATCTACATGTAGTGTAGGCCATCGAAAGTATAAAAAACGAAACGAAAAATAGATCTATATTTTAATTAGATTGGAAAGAACCCATCTCCTCCCAGCTAATTCTTAGAATTGGTAGGCTACACTGTGGTGGATAGGACGTCGAAATTCCCAGGGGTTACTCTATGACCCAATCTGACCGGCTTGTATCACTAACAAGACCTACCGGGTTTGACCCCACGTGATTATTCAGTCCAGATCTCCCTTGTGGGTGGTGTATGCAGGCCACACGAGAGGGGATGCAGCCGGTGCGCCGCCCCAGGGCCAATAAGAGTCTATGAGGCCCATGCTTGTATATAATATGATTACTTTCTAATACTATGTCACTTACCCTTATAACAGTAGGATAAAATGGTCCACAGATACTTTAGAGCATATATAGTGCAACTGAATCATCTAGAGAGAGAGAAATGGGGTTTAACGTCCACTCGACACAAACTTGGGTCATTTCGGGACCAACACATGGTTCAATTTTATTTCCATAATTCGCTTGCGTGTAGGGGTGTTTAGCAGTGGGAAGAAACCGGAGGACCAGGAGAAAACCCACGAGGTTGGACAGGCGACCCTACTCCTTGTCACGTATAACCGGGGAATTGTAACCACGCCAGTTGACTCAATGACAGAGAGAGAGAGAGAGAAATGGGGTTTAACGTCCACTCGACACAAACTAGGTCATTTCGGGACTAACATATGGTTTAATTTTATTTACATAATTCGCTTGCGCGTAGGGGTCTTTAGCAGTGGGAGGAAACCGGAGGACCCGGAGAAAACCCACGAGGTTGGACAGGCGACCCTACTCCTTGCCACGTACAACCGGGGATTCGAAACCACGCCAGTCGACTCAATGGCAGACTTTATGATACAGCGCGCGCACGCTAACCATTCAGCCATCCAACCCCCCGACTCAATGACAGGCTTTATGATATATGATACAGCGCGCACGTGCTAACCATTCAGCCATCCAACCCCCCGAATCATCTAGCTATGACTAGTGTTGGAAAGGTCGGGTGAGAGGCAAAAAAGGTTTCGCCCCAGCACACTTTTTTCCTCTCAAGGGCCCAGGGTGCAAGGCAAGGAGTCCGGCAACGAGGTCTTCCTATGTACTCGTTGGTGTGCACGTAACAGAACCATAGATAGTTGGAATTTGTGTTGAAGAGTAGACGAACACGCCCGCATTCAGCGCAAAGCACCCCCCCCCCCGCACAGCACAATACCTATTAGAATAGCAAAAATATAAAAATTAAGGTACACTGCAGATTTCGTCAAGGTCGCGAGATGTTTACAAATGGGATTAGGGTATGGGTTAGGTCTAGGCTTAGTGTTGGGGCTAGCCCTGTTTAAGTCTCATGATCTTTAACCAATGGAATGGAATCAGATATTGTTGCAGGGACAAAAGTAAATGAAATGAAGTGAAATGGGGTTTAACATCCTACTGTTCTGCTCCTAACTGGGCTAATGAAGCCGGCATACGCCATACAGTGTGCTATGAGGGAAATTTTGCCCGGGCAGCTGCACTATCTTTTATATCGAATTCCAACTGCCAGGGAGGGACAAAAGTAAAACAATGTTTTCACAACACCTAAAACGGAAAAAAATTCAAAATACTATTTTTTTTATTGGTAAATCTGATATATTAAAATACCCCCCGAGAACAAAAAAATCTGTGAAACCATACTACACCCACCCCCTATCACCCACCCCACCCCTTTAACCCTGATCTTATTAAATACTATTTTTTTTATTGGTAAATCTGATATATTAAAATACCCCCCGAGAACAAAAAAATCTGTGAAACCATACTACACCCACCCCCTATCACCCACCCCACCCCTTTAACCCTGATCTTATTAAAACACAGTTCCGTTATTTTATTGGTCGTCAAATGTTGGTGATTACTGCTGGATCTTGGTTGGTTGTTCATCCGCCATGATGATTGTGGTGTTATACTGGACCATAGTTGGTTGTTTATCCGCCATGATTGTTGTTTAGTAATATTGGACCATGGCTGGTTGTTTATCCACCATGATTGCTGTTTATCCGCCATGCTTGTTGTTGTTTTTAAACTACTGAACCAACGCTACTTGTCAACCCGTCATGATTGTTGTTTTGTAATACAGAACCATGGTTGGTTGTTCATCCGCCATGATTGTTGTTTTGTAATACAGAACCATGGTTGGTTGTTCATCCGCCATGATTGTTGTTGTGTAATACTGGACCATGGTTGGTTGTTCATCCGCCATGATTATTGTTGTGTAATACTGGACCATGGATGGTTGTTCATCCGCCATGATTATTGTTGTGTAATACTGGACCATGGTTGGTTGTTGTTTATCCGTCGTGTTTCATTTTGACTGACGCTGGAACTTTAAGAGTTTTATTTTTAAAACTAGTTTTAAAATAAAGTTGTTTACCAATGCGGTCTTCTTTTTTTTATCTCTTCTGATCTGATCCTGTCTGTACCTGGATTGATTGTAGATTTTCGTGAATTAACTGCCTTGGGGCCTAATCCCTAATGGTCAGTGTCGGACTTAGATTTATTGAGGTTCTACGTTATTTTAAGCTTGGATACCTCTTCTTAAAAAATTACAATCTGAGTAACCCACAAAGCTGCGCGCCGAAACGGGACCCCAAAAACAGTGTGTCCCCTGACGATTACGAGGCCATGGATTGTAGCTTCTTTTAAAGTTTATATATCTAAGTCCGGCACTGGATGGTTCAAGGTTTATGACACCAGGTGGTATAGGTCCATCCACATACGTCATCTGATTATTTCAAAAATTTGACGAAAGGTGTCGAATTCAATGGCTATGCCTGGATCTAAAATGAGCCAAAAACGGATTCCGACTCATTTCCAATATAATGCCTAATGGAACAGTATCGTCATTATGTTTCTTGGACATAGCAAGTTTAAGTTCAAGTGTACGCATGCGTCGACGATTATAGTTGAGTTGCAATTGGTTTAGCTCATCGTTTGTGGATTTGTTGTCTTTCACCGGTTGAGCGTTAACCTGTTGACATACGACCATTAGGACCACCCCAAGCATTAACAAAAAACCAGCGGACTTCATCATTTATGGAATATATCTCTGAAACAATAAAAAAATAACACCATTATCCCGAATTTAAAATAAAAGATATAACGTCAAAAAAAATTGCAGATGATGCTAAGGGCACTGTGTCCAAGGGCGTGGATTTGTCATAACCTTTTTTGGAACCTGGAACATTTCATAAATTTCATTACCAAACCAAAATAATAATTACGAACAGTTTACTGTACCAGTGTTATTTCGATGAAAGCTGTAACTAGGGGTAATATGTGATTAATTAAAAATAAACAACTATCACAGCTTTGTGGTAAATTCGTTTTAGTTAGTTTTAGTTAATGATTGGTTTGTCTGAAAATTCGTTTGGTAAAGAAAATATTCGACAAATTGTCTCAACCCCACGGACTAAAATTGGCCCCCTATGCCTATGGCTGTTTGCAACAATTGTTGAAGAAACTTACAGATACATTATGGAAGATTAGATAACGAGTTGGCAGTTCTCGCTATAATAGTTAAAAACTAGATAATGTAAAGGGAATTTGCTGAAAATCTCGGTCAAATTGATCCACTCTGAACCGAGATTTTAGCGATTAAATTTTCGGCCTAGCCTCGATCATCATTACTAAAGTCGGTACGATAAAAAAAAAACATAGTCTCGGTTATCCATTTTATGATTAAATCAGGAATAGAAGTCGAACAGCAAATAATAACCTAATCCAATAAACATCGCAGGCTAGCGATGACATCGAGAATTGATTATGGTCTGGATAATTTAATTAATGTCTAATTAATAATTTAGATAACATTTCAGGCCCAAAGATAGACCAGCAATAGGCAGATTGAGCTCTTGCATAATATATACACTCTTCAAAAAAAAAGTAGGGGATATTCAGAAAAAATACAAAACTGCGGAAATGCACTTCTGTGTTTAAACATAAACAGTTCATATGGGCGGCGTATCTGACGGCCCCATTTCACTCGCTAAGAGATACACTGTCAAAATTGAAAATGGACGTTTATGATTGTTGTCTTAATGAGTAATTGCTCCACCAATCCTCAGAAATTCAGCAATTCGTCGTGGCAGGCTCCTAATCAACCGCCCAATCACGATTTGGGTCAATCTGACCCACTCCTCTTGCAGTGCCACAGCCAATTCTTGCCGTGTTGTCCGTTGACGTCGACGAACACATCTCTCGATCAAATTAAACGTGACCGCTAAAGGAAAGATACGCTAAACAGTAAATCTTATGCGAGAACCGATATGAAAGCAAACATGGATAGGATAAACCAGCACGCGGCAGTTTTCATCAACCCTTCGTTGAAGTGTCAAATTTGACAATGAACCCATCCCACGTATATGGCGCTATTGCGTGTCGCATGTGCAGCTCAGTTGTTCTGTTGGGGCGATAAGTTCTTCATCTGTGAACATACTCTCAAAGCATGTCAAGTGTCCATGACTATTTATCATATCACAACCTGCATAGGTATTTGCATTTCAATATCCCCTACCTTTTTTGAAGAGTATATTATTAACCTACCTTGTGGCGACTGAACAACTATCTCCAAGCGTAATCTAACATTGACTAAAACACGAATTTAGTACACCCGCTATTTTATTAACCTGACAAGTTTCGTATATACTGTAAAGGGCTTGATGTGTCACGTTTATGTCAACCACAACAAACATGCATGCAGGTCTGTCAAATTCAAAACAAAGTCTAACATTTAGGTTTTGATTTACGGACAATAAATGTCGCTACAAATAATACAAGTACGAGATGAAATGAAATGGGGTTTATGTTCTACTTTTATGCCCCTACTGGGCTAATGAAGACGTTCGGATGGGACGAAAAACCGAGGTCCCGTGTACATATTGGCGTGCACGTAAAAGATCCCTTGGCAGTTGGAATTCGATATAAGAGTAGGCCATAGCGTCGCTGCCCGGGCAAAATTCCCCCCATAGCACACTGTATGGCGTATGCCCGTCTTCATTAGCCCAGTTTAGGAGCAGAACAGTAGGACGTTAAACCCCCATTTCATTTCATTTCATTTGCTAATGAAGACGGGCATACGCCATTCAGTTTGCCGTGGCGGACATTTTGACCCGGACAGAGACGCTACGACCTACTGTTATATCAAATTGTAACTGCCATGGGTTCTTTTACGTGCACACCAATATGTGAACGGGACCTCGGTTTTCCGTCCCATCCAAACGACTAGACAGCTATCATTGGCAGGCCTTCCGTTAGGCAGATCATAATTAACTTTCTCGACCAATTAATTTCTTATACCACAAGTGCCCACCCAAGAACGTGACAGATGTGCGTTATGATTTAAAGCGCATGCGTATGACCACCCTACATCGGTTAGGTCTATTTGATATGGCCAACTCCAAGTTCGGTCAAAGGTCATGAGATGTAAACAGGGCTAACGCTAATCCCAACCCTAACCCTAACCCTGGACCTAGTTCTAACGCTTACCATAAACCTAACCTACAACCTCGCGGCAAGTCAGGTGCCCTAACCATATTTACATCTCAACGACCATGACGAAATATTGAGTTGGCCTTAACTAATAGATCTAGTCCCCGAGGTCCCTACTCCCCGGCGAATAATCAGCGTCAAATGTACATGCGTTTTTATTGACTACTGGTTTAGTCAATGTGATTTTCATTCAATCAAATTTTCATCTTTAACGTTGATCTAATTCAAATCGATTACCCTAATCAACGAATTTATCGACACCGATTTCCGAAGCGATTACCAAAAATCGCCATATCACTTCTTGGTGCGATTCGAAATAATCGATCGGGTGATCACGTGTATTTTTCAACTATCCCATCCACAAGAATTGTTCACAGTTAATCAGCGCATTTAACGAACTGCTTTGAAATCGACTATTCTGTCATATCACATGACATCTCCACTAAATCCAAATCCATCTGTCAAGTCTATAAAAAAGCCCGTGAACAAGTTCGACATTTACACAACTGGAATGTAAAATTCAATGTCGTTTAAAAGTGCATTATGTAAAAGCTGACACTTTAAAACTTTATAATAGTTTAAAATTAGACATTTAAAACGACATATTTTTAAATTTTCAGTCAATTTATTTTATTCTGAGCGAAGTTATCGGTTTTGACAAGAATAGCATAGTCTCGATTGTCATTGTTACCGTTGTTACGATAATAAACAAAGTCTCGATTAACCGCGTTTAAATATCAAATTATTAAACATACATTATGCAAGAGCTAAATCTGCCTATTGCACGCCTTTATTTAGGCCTGAAATGTTATCTAAATTATTAATTAGACATTTATTAACTTAAATCCAGACCGTAATCAATTCCTCTTGCCATCGTTAGCCTGCAATATTTATTGGGTTATGATCCGATTTGCTATTTAATCATGAAATGGATAATCGAGGCTATGTTTTTATCGTACCGACTTTAGTATTTATGATCGAGGCTAGACCTAAATTTCAATCGTTTAATTGTCGGTTCATAGTGGATCAATTTGAATGAAATTTTCAGCAAATTGCCTTTACATTATCTAGTTTTTAACTATTATAGTGAGAACTGCCAACTCGTTACCGAATCTCCCATAATGTATCTTTAAGTACCGATCGTGTGTCAAACCATTAAATATCACAACCATCCGATGGTCTAGAGGGAGTTGATTAAAGTATGTAATTTGTCAATCTAATTAAAATATAGATCTATATTTCGTTTCGTTTTTTTATATTTTCGATGACCTACACTACATGTAGATCTAACATGTTATAGTGGGGGTTTACGTTCTATGACGTCAGGTACCAAGCAAGCGACATTTTACCCGATTACGTCAGTCATTCGATTAACCAATTAGCGACCGCCATGTATTTTTTTTATCTACTTTTGCTTTGTTTTGATTTCTATTGCCGCTAATGTCTACCCACAGTTCCGCGCACAAAAGGTCAAACGCTCGATTCGGCAGGCCATTTGATTGGCTGACCCCTCATTTCAAGCAGAACACGAGTTAAATAACAACGCTTCCAGATCCAAGTGTAGTAAAGACAAGTAAAATCGAAATTTTGAACTATAAAAAACGAAACGAAATAGGATCTGTGTTTTAACCAGATTGGTAATTTGTTTAATCTAACTCGTTGGAGTCACGGTAGCTAAGTGGGTAAAACGCTGGCTCGCTAGCCAGGAGGTCGCGGAGTTGACCGAGGAGAAAGTGCAATCGGATTTTCCGGCGTGTTTTCCCCTTGTCAGTGGTTCAGGACGGAGGGCCCGACAAGGATGGGACGGAAATACCGAGGCCTCGTGTACACATTGGAGTGCATGTAAAAGATCCCTTGGCAGTGCAAAATGTCCCTCATAGCACACTGTGTGGTGTATGTCCGTGTTTATTAGCCCAGTCGGAACCGAATAGTAGGACATTAAATCCCATTTCATTTCGGGCCCGTATCTAGACACCATTAAGCGGGGGGGGGGGCATTACCTTTCGGTAGGGGGGCGAACATTTTTAGGAAATTTTCGGAAAGGTCATTCTAACAGACTGTTGTAATCATCATGCTATGTAGTAACCTAGGCGTCTAATAAGCATTTTAAAATAAGTATTCAAACAAAAAAAAAATCGTGATTTTTTAAATTTATTTAAAACTATTTTAGATTAGTACAAAAAAAAAAATGGTTTATAAAGTAATGAGATACCGTGGGATTAATATGCGCATAGTCGCCTGAATTATACCTCCTCCTGCTTAGGGAAGCGTAGTTTTTTTTTAGGTTAATATAAGGAACTGTGTATACTTTAATGATTGTTAGCAATTTCTGAGCGGGGGGGGGGGCGAACATTTCACGCGCCCCCTGTAGATACGGGCTCGTTTCATTTAATTTTATTTAATTAACTTGCACTGCTTTTTCTATGTGTGATATAAAGTTAGCTTTAAGCCTATATGGTTCAAGTGCTGTAGTATGTGAAACTATATGGTCCCAGGGCTGTAGTATGTAAAAATATATGGTTCCAGGGCGGTAGTATGTGAAACTATATGGTTCCAGGGCTGTAGTGTGTAAAACTATATGGTCCCAGGGCTGTAGTATGTAAAACTATATGGTTCCAGGGCTGTAGTGTGTAAAACTATATGGTTCCAGGGCTGTAGTGTGTAAAACTATATGGTTCCAGGGCTGTAGTGTGTAAAACTATATGGTCCCAGGGCTGTAGTATGTAAAACTATATGGTTCCAGGGCTGTAGTATGTGAAACTATATGGTTCCAGGGCTGTAGTATGTGAAACTATATGGTTCCAGGGCTGTAGTGTGTAAAACTATATGGTTCCAGGGCTGTAGTATGTGAAACTATATGGTTCCAGGGCTGTAGTATGTAAAACTATATGGTCCCAGGGCGGTAGTATGTGAAACTATATGGTCCCAGGGCTGTAGTATGTAAAACTATATGGTCCCAGGGCGGTAGTATGTGAAACTATATGGTCCCAGGGCTGTAGTATGTAAAACTATATGGTTCCAGGGCTGTAGTATGTAAAACTATATGGTCCCAGGGCGGTAGTATGTGAAACTATATGGTTCCAGGGCTGTAGTATGTAAAACTATATGGTTCCAGGGCTGTAGTATGTAAAACTATATGGTCCCAGGGCGGTAGTATGTGAAACTATATGGTTCCAGGGCTGTAGTATGTGAAACTATATGGTTCCAGGGCGGTATTATTTAAAAACAGGAAATCAAATCACAATATCGAAGTCCATGAAAGTGAAGCTAGTCGTCCCCCATATTCAAGAAATCCACCTCTGGCCATTGCTGGATTGACTTCTGATACTTGAGCTTTTGAGGGAGTGTGTCTATTCTTCCCGTTCAATCAAATCTTTCCAACGTGACAACCGTTCGTTTAATCTGGGGGTCTTCCTTAATACTTTGGACAATGATTTAAGATATTACAAACGGCGAAAGTACTGTTCGTCTCCAAACAGTATTGTTTACATTGTAGCCGTTTTGATAGCCTTGTTTGTCACGCAATTAGTTTTTCTGTAAGTGTGAGTCATGACGTAACGTTATGAAAACATATTTAGAGCTATGTTTAAACCCGAATGATATTGTTATGCAGTTATGTATTGGTTGTTAATCGGACTATTGACCAGTTATAATTTGGAACAGAAATTTGCTTTTATTACAGCAGTGTTGAGTTGGATTGGGTCTAATCAAACAAAGCACCGCGAGGAGTATGGTCGCCTCCCTGACTAGCTGACTATGATAGTGTGAAACTATCTTTTTGGCATCCACGACACAAGATCGGCCGGGTCATACTCGTACTTTGTATCTTAAATATGGAACGTTTAGGAGTTCACACAGGGTTCTGAGACAGATCTATATTTCGTTTCGATTTTTCATACTTTCGATGGCCTACACTACATGAAGATCTGACCGGTTGTACTGGAAGGTCGCATCAGGGGTCGTATGTGCGACTTTTGACCCTATGACGTCAGGCACTGATTACTTAATCAGCGTTGACGTTTCTAGTGGTTTACCCACAGTTCCGTGCACAAAACACGCCGTAACAGACGGCTTCATTGGCTAATCCCTAACATTAACTAGAACGCGGCTTATATAACAACGTTTCCAGGTCCTAGTGTAGTAAAGACTAGTAAAACGAAATTTTGAACTATAAAAAACGAAACAAAATAGGA